TAACGGCGGGGCAGGGGGTGCTAATAATCTCCGGTGGAGGTTCGGTTGCCACCTACGACGACTCGACCTGGCAACATTTAACGCACGCACACTGAGGACTGACGAGAAGATTCTGGAGCTAGAAGAAGAGATAGACAAGTTGCGCTGGAGTATTATAGGATTATCTGAGGTCCGAAGAGAGGGGGGAGGACACGGTGATTCTCGAATCCGGCAACTTGTTCTATCACCGGGAGGGCGACCATCTGTCCCAAGGAGGTGTCGGATTTATCGTCCACAAGTCTCTCGTCAACAACGTTGTAAAGATTGGGAGTGTGTCGACGAGGGTCGCGTACCTGATACTCAGAATCACCAAACGGTATTCGCTGAAGGTCATACAGATTTACGCACCAACCTCGGCACATTCCGATGAGGAGGTGGAGGAAATGTATGAGGATATTTCCAAAGCCATGCATTCCTCCAAAACCCACTACACGGTGTTGATGGAAGACTTCAACGCAAAACTAGGCACAAGAGAAAACGGTGAGCTGAAGTTAGGGAAATTTGGAGTAGGGCCACGGAACCGAAAGGGCCAGCAGCTGGCCGACTTTATGGAGAAAGAGGGACTCTTTATGATGAACTCTTTCTTCCAGAAGCGGCCCCACAGGAAGTGGACCCGGTCGAGCCCCGACGGTTCGACAAAAAATGAGATTGACTTCATTATGACGACCAGACGCCTACTGTTCAGTGATGTCTCAGTGATCGCAAGGGTGAAAACTGGCAGCGGTCACCGAATGGTTAGAGGCACACTGAACCTAAACGTTAAGTTGGAGAGGTCTCGTCTAATGAAGTCAACGCTCCGTCCCCCTCGTGCTCTAATCCAAAATCCCGAAAACTTTCAGCTCGAGTTACACAACCGCTTTCAGTGCCTACAAGATTGCAATGCAGTGGACGATATGAATGACATTCTCGTGGAAACTGTCCATGCGGTCGGAGCTAAGTTCTGCAAGACCCGCCGCAGAAGAACACAAAAACTCTCCGATCACACTCTTAATCTCATGGCTGTTGAACGGGAGATGAGGCTGCAATCGTCAACAGATTTGACAGCATACAGGCAACTGAACAGACAGATCTCCAAATGCATGCGGCGAGACTTACGCAACTTTAATACTGCTCGTATTAAAGAAGCGATCGAGCGGAACCGGGGCTCCAAAGTCTTTGCCAGAGATCTGTCTGCCAGTAAGAGCCAACTGTCAAAGCTGAAGACTGAGTGTGGCAGCATCGTTTCCGGGACACCTGAGATTTTGAGTGAGATTGAGAGGTTCTATGGACAGCTGTACACATCATCGTTGGAGCCACACGCAAGTGTGAGTAACGATCCAAGAGCTTGCTCTTGGTGTGTATATAGTGTGTATATAGTGTCGGATAAGACTTGTCTTTTCCGACACTATTCCGATGATATCCCGGACGTCAGTCTGAGCGAGATTAGAATGACTCTCCAGCACCTTAAAAACGGCAGGGCCCCAGGCGAGGATGGAATTACAGCGGAGCTTCTGAAAGCGGGTGGAACACCGGTACTTGAAGTCCTTCAGAAGCTCTTCAATTCCGTCCTCCATGGTGGCACTACTCCAGAGGCGTGGAGCAGAAGTGCGGTGGTTTTGTTCTTTAAGAAAGGCGACAACCCTCTCTTGAAGAAATACAGACCGATTTCCCTTCTGAGCCGCGTCTACGTGCTGTTTTCGAGAGTCGTTACGAATCATCTCGCACGCAGACTCGACGACTTCCAGCCTCCCGAACAAGTCGGTTTCCGAAAATGCTTCAGTACCATAGACCACATACATACCCTGCGGCAGATTGTACAGAAGGCTGAAGAGTACAATTTGCCTCTTTGTCTGGCGTATGTGGACTATGAGAAAGCCTTTGATTCCGTCGAAATTTGGGCGGTGCTGCAGTCCCTTCAGCGGTGCCAAGTTGACTGTCGGTATATCGAAGTGCAGAAGTGTTTGTACAGTAGGGCTACGATGGCTATCCGAGTACAGAACCAGAGCTCGAAACCTATCCAACTGCAGAGAGGTGTAAGACAGGGTGACGTTATATCCCCTTAACTCTTCACCGCTTCGTTGGAAGACGTTTTCAAGCTACTGGACTGGAAAAAATACGGTATTAATATCAATGGCGAGTTTATCACTCACCTTCGATTTGCCGACGATATAGTCCTTATGGCAGAATCGCTGGAGGACTTAAGCACTATGCTCAATGACCTCAATAGTGCCTCCCAACGGATAGGTCTTAAGACGAACATGGATAAAACAAATATCATGTTTAATGTCCATGTCACACCTATGCCGGTAGTTGTTGGGAGCACTATGCTCGAAGTTGTTGACGAGTACGTTTACCTGGGACAAATAGTCCGACTAGGTAAGTCCAACTTCGACCGAGAGGTCAATCGACGGATTCAACTCGGCTGGGCAGCGTTCGGAAAATTACGACACATCTTCTCGTCAGGTATACCTCAATGAAAACCTCTGAAAACTAAAGTGTACAACCAGTGCGTGTTGCCAGTGATGACTTACTTCACTGCTGGCCGTATGAGGACGCTCAAGGTCGCTCAGCGAGCTATGGAGAGGGCTATGCTCGGAGTTTCTCTGCGTGATAGACTCAGAAATGAGGATATCCGCAGTAAAACCAGAGTGACCGACATAGCCCAACGGATTAGTAATATGAAGTGGCAATGGGCCGGCCATATAGCTCGAAGAACCGATAACCGATGGGGAAGAAAGGTTCTCGAGTGGCAGCCTCGTACCGTTAGGCGTAGTGTAGGGCGACCCCCCACTAGATGGAGTGACGACCTGGTAAGATATGCAGGAAGTCGATGGATGCAGGTGGCTCAGGACCGTGCTTTGTGGCATTACTTGGGGGAGGCCTATGTTCAGCAGTGGACTTGTGAAGGGCTGTGATGATGATGATGATGATGATATCTATTTAGTATCGGTGTGCTAGTTTTTGAAGTACGTTAAGAAAAATAAAATAAATAGTCAATTTTTTTTTACTTAAATTAGCATTGTAAATGTTTTATGATATTTTGTAGGGAAAACTTTCCATGATGTTTATTTTTATTTGATAGATGCTATTTTTACCTTTTAAATAACATTTTTTTTACATCTGTAGGACCTTTCTGTCCAGAGAAATCTGCATCTTTTGGCAGAGGTATCTACAAGACAAAAAAAAAATTTAAATCGATGAAATTAGGTATATTTTGTAACCTTAAATTATCGCTAGGTCGTGACCAGACACACTGTATGTAATGCCAAACTTATTTATATAAAAGTAGTCTTATATAAGTTTTTATGGGTTAAAGTACTGTGGGTGGGTGTAACCTCATGAGACCGCTAGGGATTTGACGGAATATGGCCGCGGTCTCATAAGGCCGCTAGGGGCTTAAGAGGTTAAGCAAGTCTGAGAGTGAATTTCCATCCACCAAGGTCGACACTTCCAACGGGCGATCGGGCGAGATTGCTCTGATTCGAAGGGGCAGCCTGTGGCCGCACCACGCCGGCTTATAAGTAAAATGTGTGCTAAAAATAACGACATTAAAAATTTATAGAGTGCACCTTTATAACTTTTTTTTTTTTTGAATAGGTAAGCAAACGAGCACACAGTCCACCTGATGTTAAGTAGTTGCTATGGCCCGCAGACACGTACATTACTGGTACCTTGACCACGAATCAAAATGCAGATGCGTTGTCATACATGAGAACTAAAATGGAATGCCTTGTGTCCAGTAAAGAGGTCCCCGGTTCTCCACACTCACCATACGAAACACAGGAGCATTAAGCTGCTATTTTACGCTGGTATTCAGAGAGAGCATGGTATTTCCCCGGTCGAGCTGACCTCTTCGTGCAAAACTATACTACTAATATAGCTGCTGCATGGCTCTACCACGATGGAATTGACTGGTATATATCCTGCCTGCCTCCCTAGACATCCCTATCGTTCACGAAGCGGACGTTCCTTCCTTTGGTCTGGTGTAAGCTGAGTGGAACTAATGGGTTTTGGTATCTGGGTGGAGGCAACGCTTCTTCCACGCTTAGAGATCGCATCCCACCTACGAGTCTGTCATCTTCTACTAATGGGCTTAGCGTGGACCTTCTCATTTGATTCAGTGCTATAATAATAATATGTCTAATATGTCTCTATAGATATCTACATCAATCCTCGATAAAGTTTTGTCACCCCTGAGGACTAAGATGGAATGCCTCGTTTCCATTGAAAAGGCTCTCCGGTTCTCTACATTCACTATAAGAAACAGCAACATTAAGCTGTTATTTTACGCTGGTATTCTGTGAGAGCGTCATCCTTCCCCGGTCGAGCTGACTCATTCGTGTTACAACCATCAAATAGCTGCAGCATGGCTCAACCACGTTCATAAAAATTATTTTATATAAGAGGGACAAACGAGCATGCGGTTTACCTGATCGTAAACACCGCAGTCCATAAACAACTGTATACACCAGGGGAATAGCAGATGCCTTGTCGGCCTTTTAAAAAGAGTAAACTCTTTCCTTGAAGACCCCTAAGCCGTATCGATCCAGAAAAATCGCTGGTGGTAGTCGATTTCACAAGGAAGAACAAAAGACCGCCAATATTCAACATCGTATGTATGGCGTCGTGAGTTTAGTCGAGATGGCTATTTTGAATAGAATAAAGGTGACAAACGAGCACACACTCCAACTGATGGTAAGGTGATGCTGTGGTCCATAGACATCTACATTAATCCTCGACTAAGAATCAAAACGCAGATGTGTTGTCACCCCTGAGAACTAAGATGGAATGCCTCGTTAAACTTACTGCCACTTATAAGGTTTTAAAATAAAAAACAGTATTAAATAATATACTTTAACTTTTTATTTCATTAAAAATCTTAAATAACAATACATACTTACAAATCATATAAAAGGTGGGTTAAGTCTTCTCACACAGCACACTTGACGAAATACAATTTCTTTTACATATGATCCTTTCCATTATGACTTTGTCTTCGATATGGGCTTCTTCACTAATCCTGGAAAATTAAGCAATTTGATTACAATTTTACTGAAATTGACTACCGGCAAGCAATAGACATATTCCCTTGTAGCGGCGGTGTTAAAATATTTACTACACCATAATATCGTCCTGAACAAGCCACAGATCAGGATAGTAACAAGTGCTATCACAGGACATGGCTCTCTTAACAAACATTTGTTTACCATAGGTGTTACTGATAGCCGATATACAGGGCATGCACGGCGGCTCACGTGTTGCTGACATATCCAGAAGTCGCTTCATACAGGGCTAAACATCTGAGCGCGCCGGGATCGCTTCCCGAAGTTGCTTGCAACATCAAGGGACTGCTGAGCTTCTTCGGGGGAGATATCATGGCTCGAATAATCACATTATTCCTGCCCACACGCAAAATACGCGTTTAGACGTGGAGTTGAGGAAAACAGCCCGTCGTTAACTAAACAAAACTAAAATATCGTCCTATGGGTGTAGTAAGAAGCGACAGAGATAAAAACCAGGAGAAGGGCAGCATTTAAGCTTACCGCGAGTGGTTAAGGGGAGTATTAGTAATGTTTATAGCATTGTCAATTATCTTTAAAAAAAAAGCAAAAAAAAAAGGGCAGCAACGTTTTCATAATAACAACTAAAAATAAAAAGTATTGTAGTGAGAAAGCAGATATACAATTATATCTGCTTTCTCACTACAGTACTTTTTACAACGGTAATACACATCTTTTTTTATATATAGAAGAGGGGGCAAACGAGCATGCGGTTCACCTGATGGTAAGTGGATGCTGTGACCGACAGAAATCTACTTCTATACTTGATTAGCAATGAAAATGCAGACGTGTTGTCACACCTGAGGACTGAGAATGCTTCGTTTTCAGTAAAATGTGTCTCCGGTTCTCTACACTCATCAAACGAGATACGTTAAAGCATGGCGAATATGATGTAATCATACAACTTTTGGTCGGAAGACGCTGATAACCACATAAAACTTGCCAGATCCCACAATAACGGGAAGAAAACTTACAACACCCTCAGGACTCCATGGGGTAATGCTATATTACAGTGTGTTATAAAAAATAAGAACTAACTTGGTATATTCGTGTTAACTATTCTTGTACTGCTCCGACTGCTCCAGATGCTGCTGTTTAGAGATGACATTGTGTTGAATTTTGTTAGGTTATTCCCTGGAACATAATATTTTTGTTTGTTTAATTTAAATAACACGTAAGTCGGTATTAACTTAGAACCCAGGTACACTTGCTTGCATATTATAAAATCGAGTCAAGCTACATCATGTTAAAATGTATATGTGGTCGTGAAAGTAAAATGGGGGAGATCTCCCGCCAGGCAAGGTGTTCTGCCCGGGGAGCGGCCAACGCTTCGTGTGATAGTTCGGAGCTATTCTATGTATACTGTTTTTGATTCGGAACTTTGATAGCGCGATTTAGGCTTCGATGTGTTTCTCGGTTGTGGCGCGACGACAGCGCCGCTACATATGCATCTATGCATATAAATAAAATTAAAGTGTCTGTCAACACCTGTCTATTCATGGAGGTTAGAGAACAGGAGAACGATCGCTACGTGCTAAAGCAAAGCCCCCCTGTCCCTGAAATTTTGTATTATTTATATCCGTGCTGCCGTCGGTAAGTAGTGTCTGCGAAGTAATTTTTTAATTTCTGACAAAAAGAAACATTAAAAACTGATGAAATATTATAAAAAATAATAATAAATCAATAATAATTAATAATTTATGTGTAATAATTTATATTTAACAACTTAGCGATCGCAGCGCCTCTTATTTTGTCCATATTTCTGGCACACTATTTTATACAGCGATCGTCCTTCTGTTCTCTAACCTCCATGTGCCTATTATTGAGCTCAGAGTTATAAGCATGCCATTAACATGAATAATTTTTTTTTAAATATTCGTCTGTCTGTGCCGGCTAATCCTTGAATTGGCTGAACCGATTGTGATGGACTTCACTAACAGATAGATGCAATATTAGTGATCAATGCTATATTTAATCCGAAGAGTTCTTTTTTGAATAAAACTAAATTTACGGATTCTATCGCGTTTATTTAACTGATTTTACTTATTTTTAATTCCCGACGTTTCGGGTGCTTTACAGCACCCATGGTCACGGGGGGAGTTCTTTTTTTTTAAATATCGAAAATTGATAAAACCTGGTTAGAAATCTAGTAAAATAAATGATATTAAACTTCCTGACTGTCTAACCATTCTCCGTTCTCTATTCATTTAAAGTTGAGGATTACACCCCAAAAGAATACTATAATACACAATAGAATGGCTGTCAACCTTATTTTTTACGAGGATAGGCGACGCCGGGAGCACACATACAAGCAATTACGTCGTATTATTAGTTTAATCACTACTACAAAGTCAATTCGCTGTGTTGACAGACGGATTTTAATACATATTTATTTGTAAATAGGGTGCAATTTGGCAATTTTGAAATAATTTGCATGCGAAATTTGGAAACGATTGTAACGTCAAAACACATCTCGTGTTTATATTTATATGTGTGACTACTATATATAACAAGGCTTGTAGACATGTGGCAATTATGAATGATTCGTTCGTTTGAGCTGGTACACTTAATGAAAGTATACTTAGTATTAATAGTTCATTCATATGTTTTTGAATGTTCCGGTACAACCAACCACTAAAAAAATTTGTAATGTGACATGCGATAAACAAATTGAATTTGAATTTGAACAATTCACAGAACATTTTCAGCTCATGGTTGGTGTAAATTGTGAATGAAACGAAAACCGACCGAATCCCGAATGATCTGAATGCATTGTTTTTAGTGTAGGGTACTGGAGCCCGATATTATCTATTTGAAAGATCGATCTGAATGTACCGGTACGCGTGACGCGTACTAGAATGATTGGGTCATGAGAAATTAATGATTGATATTGACATTTGTTGCGGCACTGTCATCGCGCCACAAGAGAAACGCACTGAATTCTAAATCGTGCTATCAAAGTTGCGAAGCTATATCGCTATACATAGAACTCCAAATTAACACACTGAGCGTTGGCTCTCCCTGTGAAGAACACCTTGCATGCAGTACCGTCTTTACCATAGGGGCACACGGGGCCCGTGCCCAGGGCCCAGTGTGTATCGTCACAGGGGCCCCCGTGATGTTAGGGCCATCGGCCTTATTCGCTTATAGCTAGTGTATAGCCTGGTTTTTTTTTAATTTTCGGCAACTTATAATATTTAATCATACAACAAATAGTGTTACGATCCTTATTTTTTTATTGAATTTTTTAATTGAAGCCTAAATTTTAATGTAATATATAAATAGAATAGACGCATTGATGTTGTTATAGTATATGTTCCTTTCTTAAAAGAAAGTTTAGTAAAGAAATATTAAAGTTTACATTTTCCTAAGAAATTATCGTCCCCGCTATGAAATCTTTCGCCTTTATACATGGTAGAGCCATGCTGCAGTTATATTAGTAGTATAGTTGTAGCACGAATGGGTCGGCTCTCGATCGGGGAAGGACCACGCTCTCACAGAATACCAGCGTGAAATATGTAGTAAATTAACGCTGCTGTGTTTCGTATGGTGAGTGTAAAGACCGGACCCTTTATACTAGAAACGAGGACTTCCATCTTAGTCCTCACGGCTGACAACGCATCTGCATTTTGATTCGTAATCGAGGATAGATGTAGATGTCTATGGGCCACAGCATCAAGTGGACTGTGTGCTCATTTGTTACCATATACTATTAAAAATAACCTGTCAAATATTTTAGCTCATTGTAAAGTGGCGCCGCCCTGGTGGCGTGGATCGGTCATTAATGACACATTATTTGATTTTTACCAATTAACTATAATAAATATAAGATCATAGCAGAAAAATGTTTTTGTCATTCACTTTTTTTAATCTCCAAAAGGGTCCCAAATTCTTGTGTGCCCAAGGGTCCAGGTATGGCCTAAGACGGCGTTGCTTGCATTTTTTTTATAGGATAGGGTGACAAACGAGCACACAGTCCACCTGATGGTAAGTGGTTGCTTGGGCCATAGACATCTACATCTATCTTCGATTACGAATCAAAATGCAGTTGCGTTGTCACCCGTGAGGACTAAGATGGAATGCCTCATTTCCAGTAAAAAGGGTCTCCGGTTCTCTACACTCACCATACGAAACACAGCAGCATTAAGCTACTATTTGACGCTGATATTCTGTGAGTTTTTAGCTTTCCCTCATATCTTTAATTTTTAATCTGATTGGTCTCATATATTAATCACAAAATCATTTGATGGCATAATTAACTTGTTGCCTTCACAAATATCTTAAGGAACACACATCACAGGAATTTTAAGGGGACTGAGGGGTTAAACTTTTCTACTAATGTATTTATTTTATAAGGTTAAATTGTAACCATTGTTGAGAAAAACAATGTAGTTGTGAGTTCGTTGCCGATTTTTCTCACAAAGTCTCCTTGCAGTAAGCACTTGTTAAAGTAATGGCGTAGCGTTTGACTTGAAAAAAGTATTTTATAAAAGCCAATTTAGAACAAAAGTATAAGATTTTGACGATTCCCGCGGGACGAGAAGGGATATAAATTCTCTATCTGCATTAAATTAAATTTATACTCATTTGACGGGTCCGTGGGGCAGTAGAATAGCAATGAGTTGCAGCTCTTACAGTACGTTTACACCCATAGAATACTGTAATACACAATAGAATGGCTGTCAACCTCATTTTGTACGAGGCTCGGCGACGCCGACAGCACACATACAAGCAATTACGTCATATTATCACTACTAAAAACCCGATTCGCTGTGTTGACAGACTGAGTAAATTTAAACATTTTAGACTTTTGATTAATGTTTAAGATCATCATTTAAAAAATCGTTTAAATTTAATACATATTTATTAATAATAAAGTTGCAATTTGGCAATTTCTAAATAATTTGCATTCGAAATTTGGAAACGATTGTAACGTCAAAACACATCTCGTGTTGACATTTATATGTGTGAATTGACATGTTAGTGATATTTTAGTGGCTACACGGGCTCCGCCCACTCCCCCGTTCTATTATGTATGTATTATAGTATTCTATGTTTACACCAACACCGATTTTGTCGGACGATGGCGGACAAAACTACCCGGACGAGTAACTCGGACGTGTATGTGCTTACACTGCAACAGTGTACTACTTGTGCCGACATTGAACATTGCCGGTATTCTTTTATATTTTTCTATTTTCAGTATCCATAGTAGTTTAGGTAGATACAACACTGACAGAAACAACAGAATAAAGACAAAATGATTTGTGGCGGCGCTGTCGTCGCGCCGCAAGCAAAACACACCGAAGCCTAAATCACGCTATCAAAATTCCGAATCATAAACAGTATATATAGAACATCTCCGAACTATCACACTGCGCCCTCCTTTCTGCCAAGGAGGGTCGCGTTCGTATACGGCTTAGAGATCTCTAGTCAGATCGTTAAGCCATTTCCTAAAAGGCGGTGTTTAGTGGGTAAAAGTCTCCACATAACCACGCAGCCGGCTGCGTGGTATGCTATGAGCATTCACCGCCTCCCTCCCCCCGCTTTCCGGAGGGTTGCCCATATTTGCTTCGGGCGCAAAAGAAAAAAAAACTATCCTATCACACGGAGTGTTGGCCGCTCCCCGGGCAGAACACCTTGCCCGGCGGGAGATCTCCCATTTTCCTTCTACGGCCACGCCGCCGACGCCGACAGTCGGGCGAGAAATCCCCACAAGTTCGGACTCGACGGTCGATCGGCCGTTTCCGTGCGTTATAGGACGATGACGGTCGTGTTTGTGTACGCGCTCTCTTTGTTTTACAAGTGTTTGATTCGATCGTCCGAGTTCGGCCGTCATCGCCCGAGCAAAATTCGGTCGATGACGGATTATATATATATATATATATATATATATATATATATATATATATATACATACTATAGAACGGTCATTGGGAAAATTTGCATACAAAAACTGTGAGCACGCGCGTGTGTTAAGCCCTCTAGCGAAAAATAGCAATACTACGCTGAATATTTACTTGAAAAACATTTTAGCTATTTCCCATTAGGTGACGCTTCTAAATATAAGGTTAAAATCGGTTTTAGGCACGTCGTCAATTACTAACATATTTGTAAATAAATAGTGACGTTACTGGATAACAGAACTGGGCACTTATTACAATAATTTTTCTTTCTTCTAGAACAATCTACCAGAAATAATAAAATTTAAAGATTTTTTTTTTAATTTAAAGGTTGGATAATAAACCAAAATCATGTTCATTTTTTGCTCCATATCGTGACTTACTATACCTTAATGCACAACCGGGCATGATTTCTTTAAAAATATTTTTTAAACTTATGAAACGAATGCGTCTTGACCTTCCGGTGATGTCACTTACACTATATGAGAAATATCGGAGATATATAGGACAAAAATTACAGACGACAATTTTGCTGCTGATGTCCGGTCTATTACTATTACATACTTAAATGTCTTTGGTCCCTGGTTTAAATCTCGCACGGAAAAATTGTATGGCCTACAAAATTATATGTTTGTTTGCAATATAGTAGAAAATGCTAGTGGAGGTAACCAAACAGTGGCCCATTTCAAGAATGTGGTGCTCAGAATGATGAAGATACTTACTGGGACTGATCCTCAAAGGATTCTTCTTCAGTATATTCTCGGCGCTCGACGACTTCTTGGTGGTTTGCGGTATTTTCGACGACGTCTGCAAATTAGGATTACGTTTATCAAATTTGGGAGCTTTGATGAACCTGCTATTCATTGATTTTGTAATAGAAGCTTTTGGTTTATTTTGATGGGTTTTTAAACCTTTTGCATTTACTGTGTTGCCAGACAATGTATGATGTTTTGTGGTAGCTTCCTTGCCACCATTGATTGGTTGGTTTTCAATGTTCTTAGGTTTCTCCACAACGGTTTCTTTTAAGGATTTCGTTTTATTAAACATCTGAACTTTATCATTTGCGATATTTTTAACAGGTTTGGATACAATTTTGCCCGTGGCCACATTTTTTCTTTTTTATTATCATCGTTACCTTGAAGCGTATTTTTATTTTTAGGTTTATCGGTCTTATGTTTTACTTCGGTTTGTTCTAAAACTTGTTTACCTTTGGACTTGTATGTACATTTTCTTTGACGGTTTTCATATTTAACTTATCTGCTAATTTTGTTGATTTCACGGTGTTGCCAGATTTTTCTCTGTTAGTATCGTCTTTATTAGGAATAATACATTCAACAGAAATTAATTTCTTACCCTTTTCCGGTTTTTTATTTCCTTCGTTAAAGTTCTTAGGTTTGCCCTCTTTTTCCTTATTTTGATTTTGAGTGTTAGCAGGTCTTTTTGATTCTATTTCTTTCTGACTACGTTTAGCGATATTATTATTTTCCCTCTCCATTTTATTAGGATTTTTGACATTTTCGTTACCAGTTTCTTTTAACTCTCTGTCTTTAGTTAAATTATTAGACTTTTTGTTTTTAAGCTCCATTTCTTTAATATCATTATTGACCTTTGTATTTTCTGTTTCATTTGCAGTTCTCTTGTGACTAACTATATTCTTAGGTTCTAATACTTTCTCAGGGATATTATTCTTTGCTTTCTTTCCTTCAATATTATCACCAATTTCATGGTTCACTCTTTTCCCTGTTTTGCTGGTTTTGTGATTTTCCGCTACATTTTCTTTGCCTTTAGGCTTCTTGGGGAGTGCTTTTGGTGGTGCCATCACTTCAGAATCCTCTTTCTTTTTCTTTGGTACCGGCATTTCCGGTTCTTTGTCTAAGCTCTTGCGTCTTTTCTCTATTCTTACTGTCTCCGACTCGGATTCTGTGCTTTCTTGTACACTGTGTTTCAGCCCTTGGGCTTCTAAGCATGTGCTGATGATTTTAGCCAACAATAACGTCCTCTCATCCATGTCAAGCTTTGGATTGGACAGTTGTTTGTGTGCTTGAGCTACTGTCTTTATATACGATTCATCTAAAAAAGAAATAAAAACACATTAACAAATTAAAATGCTTGTTTGTTTATTGCACTTTTTTGTAGAACTGAAGTATATATATATATGACCTTTTTTACAGTCTGAAAAAAAAATATGGTGTAACACGAGAACGGAGTAGAACTCTTATGACACTGATATTTTACAAAAAATAAAAACAAATATTTTTTATTAAAAGTTTGAAATTAAAACGGTAGACACAAGCTCTCACAAAATATCAGCTTAAAATAACAGCTTAAGGCCGCTATGTTTCGTATGATGACTGTGGACAAGCGAAGACCACTTTTTACTGGAAAGGAGGCATCCATATTGGTCCTCAAGGGTTATAATGCGTCTGCATTGTGATTTTTAATCGAGGATAGATGTAGATGTCAATCAGCCATAGCATCCACTCCCATCAGGTGGACTGTGTGCTGGTTTATTATCCATATTCTATAAAAAAAAACCTATATCCATATGAAAATATCGGTGATACTAATACACTATTCAGATCATTATTCAGATATCTTATGCCAATAAGATCTATTGTAGTCGCTGCTATGGTTATAGTTCACTGCTAAGCCCTAAATTTTCAATGAATTGAAGGAGTTGTTTAGCTGTGCGCAATATCACTTCTTCTGAGCTAAGTATGTAATTTTCCAGACGAGTATTACGTTTGCACATTAAGGGCCCACAATCAGGGTATGCAGAGGTGTTTTTTCCTACCTATACAGATACCGATGCGTTTATTAAATTGAAAAGAAGATAAAATAAGACATAAATTAGATAGGGTTATTATAATACTAAACCTGATTAAAATATGGTTGTAACTGTGTCGTGAAGCGACAATTAAAAACTAAATAACCTAACCTAACTACAACAAAACAACCAAAAATAAAATAAATTATTTAAAAATTTGAAAAGATTTACAGTATCTTTTATAAAAAAAGGTATGAAGGTGATGATGGGATGAAATGATGATAGTGATTTACAATATAATTAAAAAAAAAATAACAAAAATAAAGATACTGCAACGAAGTATGCACAGGCTATGCCTATGATAGGTGCGCAGCGCCTGCTCTAGGTACACGCAGAATCTGGAGAAAGCACATGCAGCGTCTGGAGAAGGTACACGCAGCGCTTGGAGTAGGCCCACGCAACGCCCGGAGCAGATACACGCAGCACCCGGAGTAGACACGCAGCGTCTGGAGTAGGTACACGTGGCGCTTGAAGTAGGCAAACACAACGTCCGGAGTAGACACGCAGCGTCTGGAGTAGGAACACGCAGCGCTTGAGACAAACACGCTCAGCGGCCGAAGATAGCGCGGGCACTAATAGGTGGAGGCGTAGGCGTGGCTAGGCGACGACTTCAGGAGAAGGCTTGCAAGATCCCGAGGCAGTGCGGATAAAGCCTTTAAGAGGTGCTTCTCGTATCAAAGCTGAAGTGAGGACCTCTATCGGCCGATTCTTCGGCTTTTATACTTTTTGACGGATCTGGGATAAGAACGAGAAATTATTTGAAATTATTTAAATTAAAAGCAAATTTTTGTAAATGGCCAAGAAGAAAAGAGTATTTTTGAAGTAAAAACATCAGGCCGGTAACAATATTTGAATAAAAATTGCCACGACAACCAGATAAACAACGATGTCAAAACATGTCAAATTTTGGTTTTAAGCTCGTAATACAGAAACGGCAAGATTTAAGTGAAAAATGAGATATTATTTATATAGGAAAAAAGGTAGCGCAAGAGCGCGCACGAAACCCGAAATTGTAGAGTTACGGAGAACTAAATAAAAGATCGAAAAAGGTAGACTCCATTGACACCGATTTAAAAAGTGCTGATAACGTGAAAATACGAAGTGAAAATGATTTGTTATTGTGTTCTTATGAATTAAAAATATTACAGGATCCTATGGAAATAAAGGTGATGCAAAATATCCAGTTTTGAGGTGAATGTAGAAAATCAAAAACAGAATGGAAAAATAAAAATAAAATAGTGTAAAATGATATGTAAGTATGTATGTAAGCATAACACTACATTTTCCCCCGACCCTGGAAAATTTTTGACTCAGCAAAAATTTTGATATGTACATTCTAAAACAAACCATAAAAACACAGCTTTGCAGTAACAGACATCACCAGGCAAAATCAGATATACCATCTCTTACATTCATCATCTGCATTCAGGTAAGGGTGGAGTTCACATTCAATGACTACCACTCTAAAAGTGTGTTTTCGAAAGGACATTCAGGCTTATTTAAGGAGTAGTCATCCGCTCCTGCGTGGAAAAAAAAACATTTTAAAGGACATCCAGGCTTATTTAAGGAGTTGTCATCCGCTCCTGAGTGAAGATAAAGTTAAAGAAATTAATCTTAAGCAAGCTTTAGTCGCTATGACTTAAGTAAAGATTAAGAACGGCCAGAGCGGTAGGGCTCAAAGCCAGAGATGAGCAACATCACTAAAAGTACATTCAGGCTTATTTAAGGAGTTGTAATCCGCTCCTGAGTGAAGATAAAGATAAAGAAATTAATCAGGTAATAATTATACATATATACAAACATATATACAAATATACAAACACATATACAAATATACAAACATATATACAAATGTAGTGTCATGCAAAACAGTATTAGCTGGTTCCTCACATCTAATCTTCACTTCGTATTTTAAGGAATTCGTACTTAATAACCCTTTTCCTTGTTTTAGTTAAGTGCAAATAGAATAAGTAATAAAATAAAATAAAGAATAAGAAATAAAAATTTAATTAAAAATTGTACCTCTTTAAGTTATCTAGAATAAAAATATTAAAGTGATGAATGTAAGTGAAGTGTTATATGCAGGTCCAAATATAATCCAGATAAGTTGAAAAACTAGATGAAGTTTTGTTTTAGAATTTGGAAGATAGTACCTCTTTAAGTTCTCTAGAATAAAAATATTAAGGTGATGAATGTAAGTTTTATATGTAGGTCTAAATATAATCCAGATAAGTTGAAAAACTAGATGAAGTTTTGTTTTAGAATTTGGAAGATAGTACCTCCTTAAGTTCTCTAGAATAAAAATATTAAGGTGATGAATGTAAGTGTTATATGTAGGTCTAAATATAATCCAGATAAGTTGAAAAACTAGATGAAGTTTTGTTTTAGAATTTGGAAGATAGTACCTCTTTAAGTTCTCTAGAATAAAAATATTAAGGTGATGAATGTAAGTGTTATATGTAGGTCTAAATATAATCCAGATAAGTTGAAAAACTAGATGAAGTTTTGTTTTAGAATTTGGAAGATATGATAAGGATGAGTAAATAAAGAGTTAAGAATGAAAGAGAAAGCAATTCAATCAAAAGGAAATGGATAAGGCGTAGTTAAGGTGAAGAAAAGAAGAACTTTTACGTCGGGCGCCAAATTGTCGTGAAGCGACAATTAAAAACTAAATAACCTAACCTAACTACAACAAAACAACCAAAAAATAAAATAAATTATTTAAAAATTTGAAAAGATTTACAGTATCCTTTATAAAAAAAGGTATGAAGGTGATGATGGGCTGTAATGATGATAGTGATTTACAATATTATTAAAAAAAAAATAACAAAAATAAAGATACTGCAACGAAGTATGCACAGGCTATGCCTATGATAGGTGCGCAGCGCCTGCTCTAGGTACACGCAGAATCTGGAGAAAGCACATGCAGCGTCTGGAGAAGGTACACGCAGCGCTTGGAGTAGGCCCACGCAACGCCCGGAGCAGATACACGCAGCACCCGGAGTAGACACGCAGCGTCTGGAGTAGGTACACGTGGCGCTTGAAGTAGGCAAACACAACGTCCGGAGTAGACACGCAGCGTCTGGAGTAGGAACACGCAGCGCTTGAGACAAACACGCTCAGCGGCCGAAGATAGCGCGGGCACTAATAGGTGGAGGCGTAGGCGTGGCTAGGCGACGACTTCAGGAGAAGGCTTGCAAGATCCCGAGGCAGTGCGGATAAAGCCTTTAAGAGGTGCTTCTCGTATCAAAGCTGAAGTGAGGACCTCTATCGGCCGATTCTTCGGCTTTTATACTTTTTGACGGATCTGGGATAAGAACGAGAAATTATTTGAAATTATTTAAATTAAAAGCAAATTTTTGTAAATGGCCAAGAAGAAAAGAGTATTTTTTGAAGTAAAAACATCAGGCCGGTAACAATATTTGAATAAAAATTGCCACGACAACCAGATAAACAACGATGTCAAAACATGTCAAATTTTGGTTTTAAGCTCGTAATACAGAAACGGCAAGATTTAAGTGAAAAATGAGATATTATTTATATAGGAAAAAAGGTAGCGCAAGAGCGCGCACGAAACCCGAAATTGTAGAGTTACGGAGAACTAAATAAAAGATCGAAAAAGGTAGACTCCATTGACACCGATTTAAAAAGTGCTGATAACGTGAAAATACGAAGTGAAAATGATTTGTTATTGTGTTCTTATGAATTAAAAATATTACAGGATCCTATGGAAATAAAGGTGATGCAAAATATCCAGTTTTGAGGTGAATGTAGAAAATCAAAAACAGAATGGAAAAATAAAAATAAAATAGTGTAAAATGATATGTAAGTATGTATGTAAGCATAACACTACAACTGATAGAAAATTATGGTTATTAGAATTGCAACGAATATTCGCCTGTTATTTTCACTATTATTTCGTGAACGCACTACGCGGCAAATGTCCCGATACCATCCACACCATCTGGATGCTTGGCGGTCCACCACTGTGCGTTTCACAAGGAATTTCCTTCCGCGTACGACCTCTCTGTGGGATAGTTTAGCACCGACGATTTTTCCGGACCGATGCGACCTAGGAACCTTCAAGAAAAGAGCTTACTCCTTTCTAAAGGGCCGGCAACGCACCTGCTATTCCCCTGGTGTTGCGGTTGATCATGGGCGGCGGTAGTCACTTAACATCAGGTGAACCGCATGCTCGTTTGCCCCCTCTTCTATTAAAAAAAAAAAGAAAGGACGGCTAAGATGGAAGATCTCCCAACTAAAGGAAAGCTTTTATATCTATGTGTAATTTTATGAAGATATAAAAATTTTACATACTTATGTAATCCAAGTCGAATTTCATGCGGTGATGAAATGAGGCGATGTGTGACCAGTTGTTCTCCAAGATCCAAGTAATTTCGAGAATATTAGAACATTTTAACTGGTAACCGCCTTCTGGCTGGAAACACATACATACATAATCATATTTCTTAAGCTGCTGAATATATGCTGTAGAAAATCACTTTTTGGTGACACTGCTGTTTTTTCTTTGTTTTGTTTTTTAGAAGCGATAGTCCCAAAAAGACATTAACACTACATTTACCGTGTAATGGCTTTGTAAGTATATAAGTATAGTAAAGTAAAGTTACAGCCTATATACGACCCACAGCTGGGCACAGGCCTCCCGCTCATTTCTGAGAGCGTTTTAGGGCAAGGAAGTGTCCGCCGCGCTGCAACAATGCGTGTTGGCAAACTTCACATATCTTCTAAATATTTTTTTTGTTATTTCTCTGAGCACACGCGAGAAAATCGGGTTCGATCCCCGCCGGCACCAATTAAATTGTTAATTGCAATTTTAAGTGTTGATTTACCACGTGCTCGGCGGTGAAGGAAAACATCGCGTAAGAATATACTGTAAGAATATACTACCCCATATCATCCCGTGGGTGTCGTAAGAGGTAACAGAAGAAAGTGGTAGAGCCTAATTAGGCTCTACCACTTTCACCACTTTCTTCTGTCCAATATAACTATATTAGTAGTATAGTTGTAGCACGAATGGGTCGGCTAGACCGGGCTAAAACCACGCTCTCACAGAATACCAGCGTCAAATAGTAGCTTAATGCTGCTGTGTTTCGTATGGTGAGTGTAGAGAACCGGAAACTCTTTTTACTGGAAACGAGGCATTCCATCTTAGTCCTCACGGGTGACAACGCATCTGCATTTTGATTCATAATCCAGAATAGATGTAGATGTGTATGGGCCACAGCAACCACTTACCATCAGGTGGACTGTGTGCTCGTTTGTCACCCTTGTCCTATAAAAACAAGATAACTGAAACAGGAGATGGGCAGCAGCATCTTCCTGATAACAACTCAAAAAAATTACGTTTGCTAACCTGCCTACCCAGCGTGGCAACTGTGGCAAAATTCTTACTAAAAGTCAATCTATAGAGGAGGAATCCTGAAATTCATCACTGGACTTTTATAGGATGTAATGAACGAATTATTTTTAAATCACAAAAAAGTGTGTGCATGCATATCGCAAGTATATCGAGTATAGAAAGTTGTAAACCACAATTCAAAAAATTTAAGTTATTGACATTTCCCGCAATGTATATTAATGAAGTTGTGACATTTGTAAAAACTAATCCTGAAATATTTAATGATTACGTAATAACAAACAATCTACGTAAAAATAAAATTCATACAATTTCATCAAAGACAGTTTTTACTTAGAAAAAACGTTTTCGGTATGTTATCTAAAATCCATAATAAGGTTCCATCTATGTTTCATGAAATGGAAAATATTCATAAATTTAAAAAAGAATTAAAAACATTTCTAATTTAGAAATTATACTACTCAATGGATAAATATATAAGCGACGCATAAGGCATATTATAATGAATATAATTAGATATAAAAATATAATTCAGTTGACATTCGATTAAACTATATATTATTGTAAATATCCCATTCTAAATAATTATTACACCATTGTTGTATTTTCTTATATAATTATAATATAAATAATTGTAGCGGCGCTGTCGTCGCGCCACAAGCGAAATACACCGAAGCTTAAATCACGCTATCTACATTCCGAATCATAGACAGTATATATAGAACTTCTCCAAACTATCACTCGGAGTGTTGGCCGCTCCCCGGGCAGAACGCCTTGTCCGGCGGGAGATCTCCCTTCCTTCCACGGCCACATAATAAAATGAAATAATTGTGGAAATCTAATATATTTAATTGTATCTAACTGTAATATTTGTATACCTAAGGGTTGAATGCAGCGAACATATTTATATAACATATACACAATATGTAACGTAATTAACGCACACCCTCAGACACCCCAATTAGTATATTATGTTATAATAATAATACTTAAAATTTTTAGTTAAACATTTTTATGCACTGATTATTTATCAAATTAGTTATACTAATTCCGGAAGAATATTGTGGTCACAGTACAAATCCACGAACGCAAAGACTTAACGTGCTTGAAATAAAGTTCATTTTTCTTTATTTTTATTTAATGACAGAATTAGTAATAATACAAATAAAACTGCACTCTTAAAAGTCTTATTGCCTTAAGTTACGGTCCATTTCAGTTTGTTTCGACTGTACAGATTTAGTGTGACTGTAATTTACGTAGTTTTAATTATTTTTGTGATAAAATATTGTTTGATAGGAATCGATTATGATAGGAATCGATTACGATACTGAACAAACTACTTCCAGGATGTGCGTTAATTATGTTACATGTTGTATATAAGATCTATTCTGTCTCATTACCTGTATTCACAAATAAATAAATTTGAATTTGAATAGAACCCCCCCCCCACCACCACCACATTAGGTTTTACACTTGTGTTTTAGAGATGTGTTACATAAAAAAGGAGACAATCGTTTTTAGACCCAATAGAAATTGTAACGTAACTTAATAATTTTACACGTAAAAAAGATAACAATTTATTATAATTAACGGCCTAATTTTTTTATGAAAATCTAACCAGAATCATTCATTCTGAAAAAAAAAATTTGTGGATATTTATGTTCTGTCTAATTTAATATAAAAAAATGCGTGTAACGTAGAACGATTTACTAAAATGATTTTCCATCAATCTTAAAGTATCTCTAAATACCGAATGTATCTAACGCTTTGTTTTATACTATTAATTATTTACCAGTGCACTATTTTAATTTATAATAACGGTATAAAACTACTAGACAATCATCGCTTTTACTTTGTTTTTAGGTACCTAATTGCGATATTCATATTTTAATTGCAAATTTCTCAGTATTCCCGTTAGATACGGTAAAACGAATATTACTTTTGTATTCTGTAGATCATAAGAAATAAATCGACACGCATTTCATTAAGTTACGCCACAATTTATGGTGAGCCCATTCTCCATACAAAAAGAATTTGTCTCCTTTTACATAGATGAACAGTCAGACTCGGAACTATTATTTATAGACCAAACAAACTATACATATATTCGAAATCGCGGTTCCGTAGCACCCCAAACGTACGCTAATCAATTCGTTACCGAGCTATTTTACAAAACGTAAATTATTGATTATAACTACTTTTACGGATTTTATCGCGATTTATTTATTTTATTTTTAAGAAAGATTCATTCTGCATAGATCGGACCAAAGACAATAATTAAAAAGCTGAAGGTACTCCGGGTTAACTTTGACATCGGGACGTCAGTCACCTCAGTCCCCCGTGACCATGGGTGTTAAAAGCACCCGAAACGTCGGGTATTAAAAATCAAATAAATAAAACGCGATAAAATCCGTAAAAGTAGTTTTAATCATTGTATAGTGTGCGCGTACATATAAGAAATCATTATGTAAAACGTAATTTATTCATTATTTTTCATTAGAGTGTCCACTACCCCTGAATATCCTGTAAGTTTTGTAACAGGCGACGGACAGAAACATTTTGTCCCCCAGTCCAACGTAGTAGGCTCTTTTTTAAAAGGCCGAAAATACGTAACAGGGATATTTCTATGCTGTTACAGTTGTTCATGGGCGGCGATAGTCATTCCCATGTGAGCCGCATGCTCGTTGCCTGCTATTTTTTTTAAAAACCTGGAAAAAGTAGCGCATTGACTCAAGTGGAGTCTCGAAATAAAACAGAAGATGAACAACAGCATCTCCCATGACGACCCAGAATCAAAAAAAGCTCTACTTGCCCACTCTGCTGCCGAGTGTGATAACTGTAGTAAATATCTCCCAATAAAATAATCTCTAGGGGATATATGTTTCCAGCGGTGCTTTTGATTGACTGTAATGAATGAATTTATGAATGAATATATGAATGAATATATGAATGAATATATGAATGAATAAGTGAATGAATGATAAATACATAAACACTCACATCTGGCACCGAGAGGGCTAGGCAGAGACTAAAAACTTCCATTTGGCACGATCCTGACACACCTCTCTCGCCTCCTTCACATCCATATATCTACGCATACATGCTCATTGGTTAAGGGTACTCCTAATTTGGTTCATTTTCAATGTATCGCCAATTTGATCGATAAACTTTCGCCTAGGGCGTCCCTTCCGACTCTTCCATTCACTTCTGCAACATAAATTTGCTTTGTCACTCTTTCCGCATTCATTCTTTCTACATAACCAAACCAACGAAGCATTCTTTTCTTAATCCTGGTCACAACATCATCTTGCATACCACACTCTTCTTTTATCACACAATTTCTCACCCTGTCACTCAGATTCAGCCCTAACATACTCCTTAGCGACCGCATTTCTACTGCATTTATTCTTCTCTCGTGCTTTTTCTGCCATACCCAACTTTCACTACCATAATTGAATGAATGAATGAATATTTTACTCACAATTGGCTTCATATACAAGGAATTCCCATATTTCTCGGCGCATAACTTTTAATAACCTGCAAGTGAATATGAACAAAATTTTAAAAATATGACAAGCAATTTGGTAGTTTTATACTAGGTGGTTAGACTTTTCTTTTCTGTCTAGAACTTTGACCGGTACCACTTCGGTATCACAATCCGTCTTTCCTATTGCTGGTCTAAAGAGTATAGAAAGTATATTTTTTTTTATTTAAAATAAAGTTACCCTACACTACGATTTTCTTCTGCATAATGGAGGCAATTAAAAGTTAAAGTTACTGCCTATATACGTCCCACTGCTAAGCAACACGCCTCCCCTAATCTCTGAGAGGGTTTTAGGGCATGGAAGTGTCCACTGCGCTTGCGCGTGTTGGCGAACTTCAAATGTCTTCGAAATATTTTTTTTATTTCTCAGACATGCAGGTTTCCTCACGATGTTTTCCTTCACCGTGCACGTGGTGAATCAGCACTTAAAATTGCAATTAACAATTTCATTGGCGCCGGCGGGGATCGAACCCGGTTTGCTCGCGTACTATGAAATTTACAATGAGCGCTAACTATTTGAGCTACCACG